TTGAGCTCTTCCAGGGCCTGAGACTGATTCATATTCTTCTTGGAGGCTTTGGATGTAGGAGTTTCGGCTTTATTGTCTTCTTCTGGTTGTATGTTTTGATCTTCTTTGTCACCACAGTAAGATAATATAGTCTGACTCTTTTTTCGCTGCTTACTCATGATCCCCGGTCAATTACTTGAGTTTTAAACTCTTTGTTAAGGTAAAAGTCTGCTTCCAATGTGGAGAATGTACTGTCCCAAACTTTGGGGGTTTGTACAGCTGTTTTTGGAGATACTTCTAGGGACCTGAAAATTTGCAGTTCTTCCAAGGTGTTATGATAAGGGGGAAGGCGTTTCCTTTCCACCACCACAACAAGCTTCACCACACCAGCATTCCTCCTCGCCCTAGGACTGCCCCTCAGAACTGTGACCCAGATCCAAGTACCGGTAAAGCAAGAGATTCCTGCCTCAGCACTGGCAAAGAGATCCTTGCAATCCCCCTCTGATCAGCCACTTGATTACCCCTCAGTCTGTGGGCTGGAAGCTCAGGAAACAGCTGAGGCCCCGGGGGTGGCTGAGACCTAGCTCCTTCTCTCACTGCAGTCACAGACTTTTCCCACTGATCTTCTAAGTTGTCTTTGGCATTCGTGGGTTGAGAAGTCTGGAAACCGCCACAGCTGCCCTTGATTCAGTCCTCTGAGGCCTGCTCCAGAGTCACTGTGGCCTGCGCGCCCACACCAAACTGCACTTCTCTCCTTGTCTGGCGCGTTATACCTTTCCGATCAACCATCCAGGCTGTCTTTGGCTGGAAATTTGTTTCACTCTGTCTTTTTGTGGGTTCTGCTGCTTTAGAATTTGTTTAGAGCCATTTTTATAGGTATTTGGAGGGGTTTGGGGGAAAGCTCAAGCAAGTCACTGCTTTCCCTCAGCTGTCTTTTGACATAGCTTTCTTAAAATGAATTTCCTGGAGTTAGGAGCTAAGCATAGATCTGTAAGCTTAGATCTGTCTTCATTAGTACAGTTTTCATCATTACTTGAAGAATTCAGTAATTTTATCAGTGTAACAACTTTTTCCACATCTTCAGATAATTTTTCCATGCCTTGGTAGACAGTTTTCTTCAGTGTCTTTGGGCAAAAAACTCATGATTTGGTAGCCAGTCTTTGGTCATGTCTCTGTATGCCTGCCAACATAATAGCTAGCAGTTGAGAAGCATATTTCCAATGGAGCAGACTTTTGAGCTATCTAATCTCAGAAATAACTCTATGGGAAAACAAGCCAGAGGTATATGGTGTGGTGATTTTTTTTTTGCCCCTTCAGTGTGATCTGACTAAGATATTACTTACTGTGTGTTTCAGGTTGGCAGAGCAGTACAAAGAACAGAGCTGGATGACTATGGCTGACATTGAGAAGGAGCTCAGGGAGATGGAGGCACAGTATGAAAAGGAGTTTGGAGATGGATCTGATGAAGAAGAAATGGATGAGCAGGAGACAAAAGAGGGACAGGATGGTAAACCTGTTTTTTGGTATCCCTATGTGATAAGCAGTTTTAAAAGCAAAGCACACCTTTTAAAGATTTATATCCGATCTTCTCTCTCAAAACAAAAAGAGCCTGCAGATTGAGTTAGCTGAGCAAAACCGTCTTTAGACCGAGATCTGAACTGCCCCTTTATTTTGCCAGCCTATTTAGGCTCAAAAAGAGCCTTATGAAAACACGTGTGATTGGTAGGTTCCAGTGTAGCTCATTACATATAATGCATTCATAGGCATAGGGAATGGACCTCAGATTTCACTGGCAAAGGGCATTGCCAAGTGAGCAAACTCCCTCTACCAGTACAAGCTGGCACCCTCTTTGCAGCTGAGAGTTGGAGAGAGTTACCTGGAGTGCTGAAAGTTGGAGAAATCTCCTTGGCGTCATGAAGCCGATATGTTACAGAGGTGAAACTTGTACCCACATCTTCCTTGCTTCAAGGAGGGTGCTGTGCTCGCTGCACCACTCTGCCTCTCAATTTATGCATTCATACTGTAGATTAAATAATGTGCCACAGAAGATAACCATTGTATAGAGGTAAAATGTAATGTCATGTTGTTAGTCTATGAGTTATATGTAGGTTCTGTCACAGAGTTACAGAATTTTAGAGACAGAAGGATCATCTAGTCCAACTCTAGAGGACCAAAGAGCTTAAAATGCCTTACCCGGGGCCACACAAAGAGATAGCTAATGGCAGATCTAGAACTAGAGTTCAGGCCTTCTAACTCCCAGGCAATGGGGAGAGCGCTAAGCTTGGAGTCTGGAAGACCTGAGTTAAAATCCAGTCTCGATGCTTCCTAGCTGTGTGACCCTGGGCAAGTCACAACCTCTGTCTGCCTCAATTTCCTCAACTATAAAATAGGGACAATACTAGCATCCATCTCACAGAGTGGTTGTTGTGAGGATCAAATAAGATAATATTTATAAAGCCCTTAGCACAGTGCCTGGCACATAATAGGAGCTATATAAATGCTTATTCCTTGTCCCTTTCCCTTCTCAGGCTAGTGTTCTTCCCACTTTATTTCATTGCTGGTTGTCATAGAGCAGTTTCTCTTTGAGCCAGTGTTTCAAAGGAATTTTCCCTTTAGGGTGTCACAAGAGTATGAACAGATGCACTGTACATTATATAGTCATCAAAGAGATGGCTTAAGCATTAGCAGTTATTACCAAAGAAACTTAGTCATGCTGCCTCTAGACTATTCTAAGAGGAATTAATTTGAACAGTCATAGGTTCTATTAAAATATCTATCTTTACAAGTATATGCTTGCTAATCAAATTCCCTCAAAGGGATAGTATTGCATATTCTTATTTATCCAGGGTGGCTGGAAGAAAGGATTTCTGTTTAAGGAAATCCAGTGAGGTTGTGTGTGTGTGTGTGTGTGTGTGTGTGTGTGTGTGTGTGTGTG